CATTTTTCTGACTTAGATTCACTAGAATTTCAATTACCTTTATCCTGAGGCCCTGAAAGTTGAAGTTCATATATAAATAACCTGTGACATACAAACTAGTGACGAGAAAAATCTATCAGATTGCCACTCCTTATTTCCATATTAACTGAAGATACTTTGAGTCTAACATCTAGACACCTCAACTGACTGTCACAGAGTGTAAAGAAACTGCTTAATAAACTCTTCAAAACCTCAAAAAAAAAAAAAAGAGTTAAGGTAGATATAACAAAAATAAGAAAAGTGATACACAATGTGGCACATCTTCTGGTTGGGGGACACAACTACAAGGACTCTACCTGACAAATGCAAACATAATTGTAACCTAATTGTTTGTACCTTCACATTAATCTGAAACTTAAAAAAATAAAAGTGATACTCAAAGTGTGTGAAACACACCTATATACCATAGTGGAAATAGAGATATACTTTTAACTACTAAGGATTACTGAGGTTTTTAGACACGTTTACATGTGTCTTGATCCAGTGGAGAATGTGGCTTTATAGAAGGAATTTTTAGAAGTTCATTCACAATTACTTGTGTGTGTGTCTGTTTATGTAAACTGTACACATCTGTTCTCAGGCATGAAGCCATTTTTGTTGATATGTACCTATAATCTGTTTATAAATCCACTGAACCATAGTTTTTTTGTTTGTTTGTTTGGTTGGTTGGTTGGTTGGTTTGGTTTGGTTTGAGACAGAGTTTCACTTTGTCACCCTCGGTAGAGTGCTGTGGCATCAGAGCTCACAGCAACCTCCAAATCTTGAGCTCAAGCTATTCTTTTGTCTCAGCCTCCCGAGTAGCTGGGGCTATAGGCACCCATTACGATACCCGGCTAGTTTTAGAGATGGGGTCTCGTTCTTGCTCAGGCTGATCTTGAACCTGTGAGCTCAGGCAGTCCACCCACCTCGGCCTCCCAGAGTGCTAGGAGCCACTGTGCCCAACCAGAAGGCCAGAATTCTTAAACACTTTGTATATCTATATTGGAAAAGGACAATTTATCTAGCTATCCTAACTTAGGTAGGCTATCTAGTATCCATTGTTAGGGTTTCGTATTCATCAAGAAACTTTCTGGTATAAAATACGGACTCCTGAGTGATTCTTAGCCCATCAAGAAGTCAGTGTTCTTTATATTGGTTATAAAGATAACCAATATCACTTGTTCTTCTCTTCCTCTAAATATTTAATGTGAAAACTAAATATTTGTCATTCTGATATATAAATGGATACCTTGTGAGTTTATTTAGCATTAATCAGTATTATGATTTTTGTTCATCTCTAAGTTAAACTTGACATTTCCTCACCTAAACAGTCAACCATCAAGTTATGTTTTCTTTTCTCTCCTTCTATCCTCATCTTAATTTCAGTAGATAATTTGGTACCTACCAGCATTTGAACATTTGGACCAATAGGCAAATTGACAATTTTAAAGCCTTTACTTTCTTTAGAGGGAGAAAAAAGATGGTTCTTGGTTATGATATATACAAATTTATATTCAGAATAGTTTATGCAGAACAGTTTATACAAATGTGTGTTCTCTTTCCCTACACCTAGCATTGTCATTGATAAAATATTGCTTAAAGCAGAGAGTATTTATTTAAAAACAGAGGGATCACAGTTGTCTTCCAAGAATAGCTCTCTTTGGAAAACCTATCAAGTGGTGAGCTGTTTTGAGAATTACTAATATCTCTTTCTGATGCAGGTTCAATCACCTGTGGACTCTGCCACAATGTCCCCAGTAGAGAGGACAGCAGCCTGGGTTCTGAACAATGGGCAATATGAAGAGGATGTAGAAGAAACTGACCAAAATCAAGATGAAGCCAAGCATGCTGAGAAGGTAGAACCTAGTCTGTCTGTATTGCCCCTCAAAGTATAGGCCACTGAAAGTGTTATCTAGCCAAGAATGTGATCTCCTTCTGCCCTCTGTCTTCACCTCTTCCTCTTATGTAACCATCATACATAGCAGTGTAAAATAGGTCAGTACTATATGTGTGTAAACATATGTGGAAAATGTCCATCTAGCTTGGGAGGGTGGTTAGCTATAATTTTTTTATGTAGATGCCCTAATCTGAAGGAAGATACTCTGCTATTTATTTCTAATCATTGTAGGTAATACTAAGTGTTTTCATAAACTAGTTTTTAGTCTTCAGCTAAGGACAAAATTAACATAGGATGACTTCCTTTCTAAATTTTGGTAACAATTTGGTTTTGTTCTGTTTGGGGTTTTTGCCTTTTCTGGAAAAAAAAAGTCTGGCTCTATGATTCTTAAGAGCACATTATCCATTGTTTGGGTTGGGTTTTTTTTGTCTTTTTTTTTTCCTTATGAAACATTCACATGAGGGAAAAAAGGATTATCAACAAGAACCTTGACATCATGTATAGCGTTATCACATCTGACTGACAACCAGTTAGTTTCTTCTTACTTATCAGCATGATCCTACACTATGTATATTAATGCAGTCTACCTCTTCAAACCTGTCATGAAAACTCATCTAGACCTTCTAGACTGCAAGTGTAGCATAGGACCATGATTTGGGGACCATAGCTCATAGTTTGATTGTTAACTAAATGAGATCATAGTATGTGAAAATAAATTGCATTTTACAAAGTGCCATATGGACTTATTAATTATTAATGACTGTAAGTAAGTAGACTGTCTATAAGAAAGCTTAGGCTAGCTCCGCGCCTGTGGCTCAAGTGGCTAAGGCGCCAGCCATATACACCTAAGGTGGTGGGTTCGAATCCAGCCCAGGCCTACCAAACAACAATGGCTGCAACCAAAAAAAAAAATAGCCTGGCGTTGTGGTGAGCACCTGTGGTCCCAGCTACTTGGGAGGTGGAGGCAGGAGACTCGCTTGAGCCCAGGAGTTGGAGGTTACTGTGAGCTGTGATGCCACGGCACTCTACCCAGGGGGACAGCTTGAGGCTCTGTCTCAAAAAAAAAAGAAAAGAAAAGAAAGAAAGCTTAGGCTTCTCACCTCACCTAGAGAGGTGAGAACCATTCCAGTGTCCTCATAGCAGCTACAGTTCAAGGAAGGACCATTAACTAATTGGATTACTGAATTTATCTAAAGCTTCGTGGGGAGAACAAAGACATGTATGTTCCAGCAAGCAGTCCCTCATTGGGCAGATAAGCCCCAACATGAAAATTGGCTAAGAAGCGATTATTAATCAGTC